GTACCATGTTTACAGACTGAGATAATTTCACGAAGGAACAACGAATCGAACTTTTCTTTTCATAAACATATGCTGTGTTAGTCGTAGTGCCACCTCATATATAAAGTTCCAAAAAAGCACGTCTCTTTCCAAAACAAATTTCAAAACTAGAATTTGTCATAATTTTGTTCATTCGAGACTTATGAGACTCACACTTTTTGTATGATAAATTTTCACACGATAATGCAGACCTATGAAGTAAAAGAACATATTTGTGAGTGATTTCGACCTTGCTCTACACAATGGTAATATTAGTTTTCTTAACAGCGTTGATCAACTTTGCCAATCAATGTACGCAGTTACGTGGACAGGCCGATCAGTTTTATCAATGAAATTTTCTCATAAAAAAATTATTTTTAGATTACTTTTACTACTGAGTAATGTGTGTATTAGTCATTGAGTTATTAAGTTTATATTTATAAAACTAGATAAGAAGATTATTCAAAGAGATGGCAATGGCAAATAACAAAACATAATATTTTACATGTAATAAAGACAAAATAGCATATTCTTGTGAAGGATGTTTAAAAAAATTTTGTTTAATACATTTAACAGAACATCGACAAATATTAAGTAAAGAATTAAATCATATTACTAATGATCATAATCAATTTAAACAGAGAATCAATGAACAAAAACAAAATCCACAAAATCATTCATTAATAAAACAAATTGATCAATGGGAAAGAAATACTATTGAAAAAATTCAAGAAAAAGCAAAAGAATACAGAGAAATTTTCACTGAATTTTCACAAATATGGTTTAATGATATTGAAAAGAACTTTAATGATTTTTCTGAACAAATAGAACAAATTCATGAGGAAAATGAATATAATGAAATTAATTTAAGTAATAAAGTAATAGAAATTACAGAAGAACTAATTAATCCATCAAATATCTCTGTTAAAGAAGATTCACAATCACTTATTAATCAAATTTCAATTATTTCATCAAAAAGTAAGTTTTTAAGAAATTAGTTCTAAAAGAAAATGTCTCATTTTCTATAAATTTATTTTAAACAACCATAGTACGAATTAAAATAATGATGAAGAAAATAAAAAAAACATTGAGAAAATTGTTTTATTTCTTCATAAAAATAGAAATTAAATCTTTCCATACGTATAAAAGATTTTGATTATTTGCAAATGTAATCTTTTATTTTTCTATTAATACTAAAAATGCATTAATATAAATGAAATGTATTGGAAGATAAATATCATACCTTATCATTCAAATAAATAATTTAGAAATTAGTGAAATAAAAATAATTTCAAAAGATTAAACTTCTCAGATTTTATTTTCTAAATTAAACATATTTTATCGTCTAATATGAAGCAGAGTAAAAACTTGAATGACTATATTTCAATGTGAAAATCTGCATAGAGATGATAGATTTATTCATTGTACGGTGTGAGTGTATTTTGGTGTTGCTAAGTTGGATGTGTGTGAATAATTGAATTCAACTTTCAATTTCGACACTACTGCTTCTTGTTTTCATGAAAATCTTTTGTTTTTATTATTTTTAGAATCAAAATTCAAGAAATGGAAACAAAATGCCATCATTGTGGCTGCTGAAAATGGACGAGGACAAGAATTAAATCAACTCAATAGTCTTGGTGGAATCTTCATCGATAAAAACAAAAATATTTTTATTGCTGATTGTTTTAATCATCGTATTGTTGAATGGAAATATAATGCAAAAGAAGGACAAATCATTGCAGGTGAAAATGGCAAAGGTAATCAAATGTATCAATTATATGATTGTTGATCAACAAAATAATTCAATCATCACTGCTGATTGTGGGAACAGCCGAGTGATTCAAAAGTTGAATCAGAATCAACAAATTCTCATTGACTATTATGGTTTGGCAATGGATAAAAATGGATTTCTTTATGTTTCTGATTGTATAGAGAATGAAGTCAGACGATGGAAAATAGGAGAATACAATGAAGGAATTGTAGCGGCAGGTGGAAATGGAAAAGGAGATCAACTCAATACTCCAGATTTTATCTTTGTTGATAAAGAGCAATCTTTTTATGTATCAGATAGCTATAATCATTATGTAATGAAATAGAGAAAAGATGCAAAAAAAGGAAGAATTGTGGCTGGAGGAAACGATCAAGGAAAAAATCTCAATCAGTTGTCTTCACCTGACGGAATCATTGTTGATAGTCTGGGTCAAATCTATATCGTAGATTGGGGGAATACTCAAGTAATGCGTTGGTGTGAAGGAAAAGAAGACAGTGAAATTATTGTTGGTGAAAATGGAAGTAAAATTCAATCAAATCAATTGAAATATCCCCGTGGTTTACCTTTTGATGAGGAAGGAAATCTTTATGTTGCTGATTCGAGAAATGATCGAACTGCAAAATTTGGAATAGTTTTATGAATGAATTTTTGATTTCAAAACAAAGAAAAACATTTTTTTAAAAATAAAAAATCGCATAAATTTCGAAGACTTAAGAAATATTTTAGGGTGTGGGTGTGAATATGGTATTCTTCGCTCGGCTATGTCTACACCTACACCACACCCACATCTTTACTTGGTATAGTCCAACGATTATATGTTCTATTCATATTTAAATCGCGAGTTCTTATATATTTGAAGCATTTTTTAAATTCATCATTATTAGAGCATATATATACAGAGAAGACGTGACTTCGGCTTCAAATGTTTATTTTACATATATCTGAAAACAGATCACGCTAGGCTACTACTTCGAGAGAAAATACGTGTATACATATGTCGATCACAAAGGGGTGAACACATATCACACGAAATAAAGAGAAGAAAGAAAAAATATCTGAAGAAGATCCAGGGGTGAAAGAATAAGTGAAGAAGATATCCATGTGTCGCCTGTAACAATCATGATTGTCGTTTTTCCAATTATTATAATTCAATAGAAACAATCCATCTAAATAACCAACTGTTTCACATACGGTCCCAAATAAACGATCTTCTAATTGAAAACTACCTTCGGCTATATGTATATCATTACGTGATGAAAGTACTCTTGGTGAGGTTCGTTCATAAAAAGGACACAATGCCTTTTTAATAGTTGTACGTCTCAATGTATTGAAGAATTCATGTAATACGATAATTAATAATCCACCAAACATAATAGTATTGCCATTTAATCGTAATATATAATAACATTTTTATTAGTTTTACATGTTCTATTGAAACATGTAAATTCTATGTAACATGTTGATAAGTTTGCAAATGAAATTCCACGTTTTACAAAACTTTCTTCAATTGTATTATCAATAATACCTTAATTTAAAATAAAAAAATTAAAATTTTATATAGAATTAATACTTAGAAACTAGAGTGTGGGTGTAGACTTTAGTCTCCATTTGTATCCAGATCCAGACCCAGACTCACATCCAACCTTGTTTCATCCTATTCACTTTCATATTTTTTTTAGAAGTTCCTCAAGCTAGACAACCTATGTAAACTAACTTCACAAGCATTGAACAAAACAAAATGACAAACTTCTCATTGAAATAAACTTCAACTGTGTTCATCGATAGTAACTAATATGCCACAAAGACTCATTTTAATCAATAGATTTCTATACAAACTTCAGCTGAATACCTACCAGTTCTCTTGCATATGAGCTAGCCACTTGGCTGGAGAAATTACCAAATCTGTACTACCTTCAAAGACTTTTCCTAGCTGATTGTCGGCTTTGCGAAATAACGTTTCATCAGTTTGATTTTTCAGGGGAATAACATGGAAGTCATTGTGATTGCTAGTTATTACATTGTTGTGTTCTTCACCACCCAAATTTCAGCAAAACAAAGATCTTTTGCTGTGTTTGGAATTGTGAACATGGAACATAAGAACTGACATGTAGATGCTGTATTGAGGTTTTGAAGGTGAATGATATAGACCACTGAACGAATAGACCTAGTTGAAATATATCAACAATACTTCGTGGATGAACAATATAATTGTAGAAATATCTAGCTTTTTTTTCCATCTATATATAGTCGACCAAATAATGGCAAAACATGCCATTTTAATTGACATTTACAAGGTGTTTGCATTTCACGGATGAATAAAAATTATAAAAGAATTAGATAGATAGAGTTTTTATATCTCATGATGATTATGAATAAAGTATCTGTATAATCTAATTGCACTTATATAGATGATAGATAAACAAAACATTAATTTTAATGGCTTTGATTCTGTCAGTTTTTTTTCTATGTGTAATTGATCGATTGTTTTCATCACTAATGGCATATGTGTCAAAGATGATATCAATGTCAAGAACAGATAAAAAATAAGATAATATATTTCAAAATGTATCATCCATTAGTTCGGAGATGCTCTAGAGTCTTTCGGAATAATCTAAAATGACTTCCATAGATTTCATGCGATGTTAAACAATATCAGCAGACTTTATCAAATCTTCGTTACTCACAATATTCCCTTTTTTTGATATATTGAATAACAACTAAATAGCGTTTACTATAAAGAAGATCTGCTCGACACAGAACAAAAAATACGATACTAGATGTGAGTGGAATTATCTTAATTGTTTCTACTAAAATGATTCCTGATTAACATCTCTGTTTTAAACATCTCATCACAAATCTAATGTGATATTCTAGCTAGATGCAAGTGAACCTTTTTTAAACTCTACTTCGCATTTGTTTTGATATTCAGATAGAACATCTATACTTTTGTTATTTCTTTCGTGTTTTTCTTTCTTTTCTAGCGATATATATATACACATACTCTTTTTCTTCTTTTCTTATTGATGTCTGTCGCTATTTTTCAGTCATATTTTTTTGATTATTGCTAACTGATGTATCGTCTCTATACCAAAAAAAAGTGTTTGTACTCAAAACTTTTTTTTCTAAAGGGTAGAATGTTATGATATTCAGGGTGTGGGTGTGTGTCAGTATTGAATCGATCGAGATCTGCATCCACACCCACACTCGGATCTGACTGTCTGCTGCGTTCAATCTTTTTGTAGAATGCTTACTGTGTCGACCAGCTTTGATTGCCAAAGTGGTCGGTATTTTATGTTTCTACTTATTACACTCTTTCATGAAGTTATAAAACAGCTGTGAAAGAAAGTTTCTTGTATTTAAACTGAGATCTGGTGATAAAATTCGAAAGATTGCGCAGAGCAAAGCAATAGATTGTCATGAACAGCTTCAAATAATACTAGTACAGTGTTTAGCGTACATGTGACGCTTCGTTTTTGTTGGTCACAATGTTCGTTTTAATATTAATGTTGGATTTTGTTGATTCAAGTTAATAGAATCCGACAGAATCCGATAAAAACCTATAGGAATCTGCAGGAGCCTTTATAATCCGAGGCTTTTCGATCGAATTCGAATCTAGGATTGGTTGACCTGGGTTCACAATCTTAGGTGAAGGCAACTACATCACACGATTTCTATAATATAAGTACTGTTTTTTAGAAGGAATAAACTAACAATTTTTTTATCAGTAGTGCACTTCTAATATTTCTTCTTAATTTGATTTCACCTTTTCAGAACCACGATCAACATCATCAAGGAAAAAAGTAACAATTTCAATGTCATCACAGTCAACGCTTGAGAAGGTACCTAAACCTAGTTACCAAAACATGGAATGTAACAACCCTCTTGTTCACAAGAACGGAGAAGAAGGCATAGAGATGGCTGCAAAAAAAGTGACTAAATATTATACATCACCAGAATGCAAAGTAAGTGGTGTTGTCTTTAGGCGTGCTGGTTTAGTACAGTAGCACTGCATTAACTAACGCCAAAATGCTAACTTAATAGTAATGCTAAGCCAATACCTCTAGTTCTGTTTTGTCTGAGTTTTAGTCAGAAAAAGTCACGAAAGAAAATAACTATTTTGGAAAGAAATATCTGAAAGATTTATTTTCATTGTATAAAAGACAGATGTGCAGAATATATAAGAAGAGCTTCTTGAGCGTTTTTCTGTTAAGAACGACGGAAGATATCTTATCTCATTGAACAGAAATAAATATTAGATATTTTTTCTTTACGTAAAATAAACTTTAAATAATGTCAGTACATTTTACGTTCACTAATACTTTTTACTAACAATTTTGTTTTCAATAAATTTATTCTCAGCGACACGAAAAAAATCATCATAAATCACTGCATTATTTTTAATATCATCTCAAAAAACTAAAATATTCTACATACAAATGATAGGTTCAAGTTAAATTTTTATTTATAGTTTATAGAAACATAAATATATATAATCAAGATAAAGTTTCCTATTTAATTTTTTTTTCTGAGAATTTTCACACAGGATTAAAAGAACTATTAAGTATATTCTTATCTTTATTCGATATAAAATAAATTTTAAAAATAGATAAAATATATTAAGGAATATTTATGAAGAAAGATTGATTCGCGAAATAGAACAATTATGAGACAGATTTAATTTTCTTCATTATTATTCGAGAGAAGATTAACAAATTGGATGGTTAGTTACGAGAACAGTCAACACTTTTTAAAGAAATCTAAATGAATAATTTTTTCAATATTTAGTATGAATCAGAGAATAACAACAATGTTAGACAATCTATTCGTCCACAAACAAGATCGTAAGTATTTGATTTATTTATTCGAAATATATCTATCATTTTAGATGCTTATATCCTCGGAAAGCAATATTGATTTTATTTATCATTATCGTTCTTAGCCTAATAACTATCATTAATATTATAATATGGATTATTTTCATTAAAAAGGCCGAAACAATAATTAACTCGACTACAACTACAATTGGTGCAACGTCAACAAAAACAACTATGCTTACAACGTCAACAACAGAAACAACAATTCTTACAATATCGACTAATTTTCATACAACAACAATGAATGGTAGAATTTTGTTATAAAAGAAAAAAAAATAAGAATGAACATATTTCTCGGGTCCAAAAAACAAGCTTTATACGCAAATTCGAAATTTGTAGCTCACTTACACATTCATATTTTACCTAATGATAGTTGAAATTATATAGCCGTCCAAAACAAATTAATAATTAAATACAGAAAAAGTCTGCTATGGAATGAGAAGTACTATTTCCAAAACAGAATAATAGTACTCTGTATTCAGAAGTAATACTCCAAAATAGAACAAAAGTACTCAGTACCTGAAAATATCATTTCCATAACAGAACAATTGTGATCTGTTTTTGTAAATTTTGAGGTGTGAGTATATTAGAAGAATCACCCACACCCTAAAAGATAACATTTATTTCTAATTCAAATATTTGAAATCTTTTTTAATTTATTTTATTTTCCTTCCTTTTCTTTGCAAATTAGATGTTTGTCAATTTTTTTCATCATTTTCTAGAAACCAAATTCAACGCATGGAGACAAAATGCCATTACTGTAGCTGGTGGAAATGGGCAAGGACAAGAATTAAATCAAGTCGGTTGGCCTATAGGAATCTTTATTGATAAAAAGAAAACTGCTTTCATTGCTGATGACTACAATCATCGTATTGTTGAATGGAAATATGATGCAAAAGAAGGACAAGTCGTTGCAGGTGGAAATGGCAAAGGTAATCGAATGGATCAATTGAATGAGCCAGCAGATGTGATTGTCGATCAGCAAAATCATTCGATCATTATTGCTGATTGTAAAAACAGACGAGTGATTCAATGGTTGAATGAAATTCAACAAATTCTCATTAAGAATATTGACTGTCGTGGCTTGGCAATGGATAGAAATGGATTTCTTTATGTTTCTGATTGTAGAGAGAATGAAGTGAGACGATGGAAAATAGGAGAATATAACAATGAAGGAATTGTAGTGGCAGGTGGAAATGGAAATGGAAATCAACTCAATCAATTTAATTGTCCTACTTTTATCTTCGTTGATGAAGATGAATCTGTTTATATATCAGATAAAGACAATCATCGTGTAATGAAATGGAGAAAAGATGCAAAAGAAGGAACAATTGTGGCTGGAGGAAATGGTCAAGGAAAAAAGTTCAGTCAATTTTCTTATCCTCAAGGAGTAATTGTTGATGATTTGGGTCAAATCTACGTGGCAGATATGTGGAATCATCGAGTAATGCGTTGGTGTGAAGGAAAAGAAGAAGGTGAAATTGTTGTTGGTGGAAATGGACAAGGAAATCAATTCAATCAACTGAATTCTCCCAAGGGTTTATCTTTTGATGATGAAGGAAATCTTTATGTTGCTGATTATTCGAATTATCGAATTCAAAAATTTGAAATAATTTTATAAATGAACTTTTGATTTTTAAAGAAAGACAAAAAAACATTTTATTGAATAAAAGAACGAAGAAAAGTTTTTTGGGATTTTTTCCTTAAAAGTTTAATTTAATTTGAGAATTTTGATTAAAAATTTCAAACAAATAAACGTTAAATTCTTCATCGTTTGTTGAATTGTGCGGAAGCTAAGAAAAGAAAATATATTGTATTGTAAATTAAATTAAATAGAAGTTATTCGAAAAGAAGATTTTATGTTTGAGAAAATTTAAAAATTGTTCGAAAACGAAGAGAAAAGAAATCTTCTATGAAAAATTGAAAAACATCTTATTAGAATAATTAAAGAAACGATCGAATAAACAATAAAAAAATTTTTCTTATGAAATTAAAGTGAGTTGAATTTGATAAAGATTAGATAAAATGATTAAGTTCCATGATGAAATCAATTTCAAAATCTATTTTGTCAAGTATTTTTCCATTCGTTTGCCAGTGGTATGTTCAGCTATGCAAAAATGTTTTTTATTCTTAAAAAATAAAATGAAAAATATTTCTGTGATCTGAGACTTATATTTTTGTAAATGTATTCAAAAAACGTTAGTAAAGTTAGCAGCACATTCGAGTTTTTCTTGACATACGCTTAGGAATTTGGCAGAGATCTCTACGTGTTGAACAGGATCCTAAATTCAAGTCCTCGTCGAATGAGGTCATCTGAACAAGAGATATCGACTAAGAATGGCCAATTTCATCCAAAAAACTGGGTGCAGATCGTTCAAAGATAAATATCCAAACTGACAATCTATATACACACTTACACCATTTTTACAAAATCTGAACATATAAACTATGAAAAAGGACATGTAGAAGATCGTTATGTTTGAAATATGAAAGTGGAAGAATGATAAGTGTATGAGATATAAATTTAGATGATGAATATACATGTTCAACATATTCTTCAGTTAATAAATCACAATTAATATTATTAGATATAAAAAAATTCTGATATAATTTTGCTCATATTATTAAATCTATTTATCGTGAAAGAGATTAAAAATTTACAAATTAATTTCATTTTATATCTTGTGATTATATGTTGTAGATATCTGGGGAAAAGCTATTAGATAGAAATAGTTTGTTATTCATAAAATGATAATCCATTTTAATTTGATTATTTGAGTTTTGTTTTATAGTTAATTCAATATCATAGTCAACTTATAACAAAACAATATGTATACATTATTAACAAAGTTTCATGTCATGTTGTAAATAAAATGTCGTGTGATGGAAAAATTAAAACAACACTTATCATCAAAATATGAACAAAAAAAGTATCTCTCTAATAAAATGATGCTTAATAATTATATAAAATTATTTCTACGTATAATTTTATTTTCTCCTTGTATATTTTTTATAATTTGCTGCTTATTATACAATGTTTCATTCAACAAATAATAAATGTAAAACAAAAATACGGTGAGATGTAATTACAAATTTAGGTGTGGGCGGAACGGGGGTTATCAATTTGTGCATAGATCGCACCCACACCCGCCCATCTAGGCTGATGATTATTTTTGAATTTTTGTAGAAATGAAATGAACGCTGACGAACGCGTTAAATATTTAAAAATGGTTATACGGGAAGAAATATTTTCTTTTTTCTCAATAAAAAATTCGCACGTGTTAATTTGTTTGTTCTTTCTCTTATTTCTTTTCCTTACCCACACTTGCAGAACAGTCGATCGTTCTTTTTCCGGTTAGTAAAAATGTACATGTGTCCTTGTCTCGAGCATCATTTATTTTCTTTGTTGAGTCATATGATACAGTCATGAGAAGGATTGTGGAGAATTGTTCTAAATTTTATTCATTATTTACAATCGCTCTTCTACATTATGTTCAACTATGTTATAATAGACGTAGCTAACCAAATTTTTACAGTAGGATTGTAACTTTATTGCATTTTTTTT